GTTATTCACATCTATCTATCTATCTATCTATCTATCTATCTATCTGTCTGTCTGTCTGTCTGTTCCTTCTGTCTATACTTACACACTGATTCTCTCTCTCTCTCTCTCTCTCTCTCTCTATCTATCTATCTACTTGAGTCATTTGAAATATATGTTAATCATTTCATATCTATCTATCTGTCTATCTTACTGTTAATTTCGGGTTCGCTGATTCTCTCTGTATCATATATTCTGCTCACACCTCACACCTCACATCTTTCTTTCTTTTTTCTTTCTTTTTCTTTCTTTCTTTCTTTCTTTCTATCTATCTATCTATCTATCTATCTATCTATCTATCTATCTGTTTCATGCAGTCTTTATTTACTCTCTCTTTATCTCTCTCTCTCTCTCTCTGTATATTTATCTATATATTTGTGTGTGCCGTAGGTTTAGGAGATATGCATATGTCAATACCCTGCAGACAAAACTTAAGTTTTGAAAATATATATTTTATGGGCAATGTCTACTGGCCAAGATGCTTCCATATCCGTCTCCTTTCGTATAATAAAAATGTTGAGCGCAATACAAATCCAGAATATCGAATGTTCTTGGAACATTGGCGCAACACAATTTTCCTACACGCAATTTATCTTAGCTGATATTGGCAAAAATCAACAATAATTTCTTCTAACTCCCTGTATTCCTGCAACCTGAGTAAATGACTATGTATCTGCCTTTTAGTCATATAAACACCTTGACACTATATATATATATACATATATATATATATATATATATATATATATATATATATATATATATATATATATATATATGTCGATAAGACTTTCCTGAACTGCATCAAGAAGAAATGCGAAGTAGATCTCCAGCAAGGATATTTACAGTCGTTTGGGACCATGCATCATCTGTTTTCTAGAAACAATGTGGACTGGACGTAATTCACCGTAATATGTTTTTCTTTGCCGTAGCTAAAAAAATTAATCTCTCATCATATAAAAGCTTTCGAGAGTTAAATTTTTTTTTTAACGCTATTGATAAAGTATTTTCTTTTTTTATTGTTAAATAAGTTTAATTTCCAATACAAATAAAAACAAACATTTATTACAGTTTATAAAACAAAACAAAAAGTGAAACATTTTTTTCTAAATTAACAATGTCTTTCTTTTGTGGATTTTTTTTCGTTAATTTAAAATACAATAATTGTGGATTTTGAAAATTAAAATAAATTAAGAAATACGATTTAAGAAAACTTAAATTCATTATAAATTCATGATCGAAACAAAAAAATGACGATAATAAAAATGATTTACTAAAATAAACAACAACTAATGACAGATTCAATTCAACAAAAAAGAACAAATAAATAATTGAAAGATTTTACAAATGTATTATGCCGAACATTCCAGCCAAAAAAAAAACTCCAAATGAAAAAAAAATGAAATTAAAATATATAAAAACTTTTCAGCAAAAATTTTACAAGTCCTCAAAAAAAAGCCAACAAAAAAAATGTGAAAAACGAAAAAATCATATCCACAAAAAAAAATTTGTCATAATTTTTGTTTTCTATATATATATATTCATCCTATCATGTCCATAAACATTTCATTTTAACTGGAAACACCATCCTTGAATTAAAATAATTAATCCCTTTTGGAAATTGCTCCGAACCAACATATATATATATATATATATATATATATATATATATATATATATATATATATATACGCGATGGGTTTGTTCGATGGTAACAAAAAGTTCCAGTTATCAATACTTGAATAAAATAATAAATTAAAAAATATGTTCATCTTGTTCCTTTATTTGCATCATTCTTTTTGTTAAATATCATGTTCATTTTTTTTTTGTCTCCGCGTATATGTCTTTGCCTTACTTTGTGCCTGATTAAACCACCTGCATAAATGTAACGGAATGAACACCTGGATTTCATTTCTGTTTTTCTATATATATTGTCTCTATATATGCACATTTGTGCATGTTTCTGCACTTACTTGTATGTCTTCGAGTGTTTACTGGAGTTCCCAGTTCCAATTCAGATCCTGTCTGTCCCACTCATTTCGCACTTTTGCCCTTCGAGAAAGTAGGATTTTGCTAAATAGCAGAGCAGAGGGGAAGTTCTTGCCTTGGTTTTGAAACTGGACAGTTATAAGTAAAATCCTGAATTCAAAACTGACCGAGACACGCCCAAATAGAGACTATATGATAACCATACAAATCTAATGTTTTACGGGACTCATCGTAATGTATTCGTGTATGTGTGTAGTGTTGTATATATGGATATATGTGTGTGTGTGTGGTTCTATGTTAGGGTATAAGCTGCATGTGCCAATATGGTTGTGTGCGTGCCGATTTAAATAAATTAGTAATGTTTATAGTGATTTTTCAAGTGTAGCTTGGATGTGGCACAAGGCCGAAAGTAGGGGCCCCCAGTGAGGATCGAAACCACTACTCATTCGTAATTGTTCTAGCGAGACAAGCTTGCTAACCATTACACCACCTCGAGGTGCCCAATTAGTAATGTTTATATATGGTATAGATCAGCGGGCGCCAGCCATTTGAACTGCATGGACCACTGAATGTATAATTTTAAATTTGACGGACCACTAATATTAATTTAGAAAAAAAAAATCAAATACTGTGTAACCCGGATATAAGAGACCCGGATATAAGAGAAACCCGGATATAAGAGAGATTTCCTCTGCTCCCAAATTAGAGCCTGTGTTAATGTATATAAAATAGACCAAACCCGGATATAAGAGAAACCCGGATATAAGAGACTTCTTCTCCGGTCCCGACAACTCTCTTATATCCGGGTTACACTGTACATTTATATAATAATAATCGAAAAAACTTTTATTAATATGAAATGCACACATTAAAGGTAACGAATTTATAGTGTAATTATTTAAATAAAACCAATTTAAAAGTTGAAGTTTATTCAAGATTACCAGGGTTTTTTTTTATGAAGCATACGTGACTTTTTATTTTAATTTCTGTTGTTTTATTGCATTTGTTACATAAATAGCATAACATAATAATATCTTGAAATGCTTCAGCTGATTAACTGACGTATTCTCAGATGTTAATTTTGACTGGACATTCCTACAGCTTAATTTTAGTTACTTTTCATCGTGGAAATCGCCGCCTTCCATTAAACAAGTTGTAAAATTTTCAATTTTTATGAGAAAAAACATTGTCAATTATTATGAAGGTTTGACTTGTCTTTCCTTCATAATAATTTCTGTAGCTTTTCACCACGACTCCTCAGACGTTTATTCTATAGCCAGATTAGAAATAATGTCTAGAGTAATGCTCGCCAACCTTTCGAACTTCATAGACCACTAAATGTATAATTTTAAATTTGGAGGACCACCAATATGAATTTAGAAAAAGAAAAGGTAAAATACATTTATATACTAATAATCGAAAAACTTATTTTATTCATATGAAGTGTACCAATTAAAAGGTAACAAAGTTATAGTGTAATTATTTAAATAAAACCTTTCATTTAAATAAATCCACCAGTTTTAAATAAGTCCACCATTTTTTGTTTTAATATTTTGCAAAAATAGTTTTCGAGTATGAATGTTTATGAATTTGTATCTAGTACGTAAGCCGATTCTTGAAGATCCCGCTATTATTCCGTTGCTAAGCAGTGTTTGTAGAAATTTATACTAGTAAACCATCCATTAACTAGTTGTCAACAGTAATGGTAAGAAACTATTCAGTAACAAGTATTGAACATGACTTTGCAAGTCATGTTAGGTTATACTATGACTGGAGGATGTCACATTTGTGTACTTGTGTTTATTTCGAGATTACATAAGGTCTTGAATATATATATATATATCATCCATAATACGTTTTGTTACTCGTCATTTTTTATTCTGAAGTCTCATAAAAATTTAAATAATTTTTCTTCGGACCATCAAAAATTTTGTACGGACCACCACTGGTTTGTGGACCACTGTTTGGCGACCACTGATATGGATGATAAGAAAATTGAACATATAATGTTCTTGGTTCTACACAACAACTCAAGTTGCTACACAACCTAAAATATTAACCTGAAAACTCGAGTCATGTTCTTAAATAGCATCAAGACGTTCTCCTCAATATCAGTCCTGGGATAAAACGCGTTCTAAGCTGCCATCCGTATACAACCGCTTCCTCAGACCGATGCTTAAAAGGGGGCATCGTGGGAATGAAGCCTTTAGATCTGATTGAGGACCATACTGCTTCGATCCTCGTGGACTGGCGCTATAGAATCACAAATAAATAATTGCACCAAATGAGGGAAACAAGACTAATTTCAAGAACAGGAAGAACTGAAATGGATAGCAGGTGTAACTCCAAGAGAAAATAACGGCATAATGAATTTGTTGACTTTCAAACACTAGTTTAGAAAGGAAACTTCGATCAATACTGGAAAGGGCGATAACTCTTATTTGACTTGAGAAACCTATTTTCTTGAAAAAAAATATTTTAATGGAACGATTACATAAATTTCAACCGAAAGTTCTGTCAATAAATGCCGAATATTTCCTTATTAGGAAACGGTTAATATTCGTCAGATCAAGACTTACTAATAGTGATATTCTAAGCGTAGCTTAGATGTGTCACAAGGCTGAACGTTTGGGGCACCTAGTGAGAATCGAACCCACTACTCAGTCGTAATTTAACCGGACAAGTTTGCTGATTTTTACCCACGTCGAGGTGCTCCAAATGATTTTCAAAGCGATGTTTACATGTGGCACAAGGCCGAAAGTGTGGAGCACTAACTGAGAAGCAAGACTTATTTATGTATATAATTCATAGCTCCAAACGTGTTCAGAAATAAATAAAATGTCAGTTGGCGCTACAGATTAAAAAAAAAACAGAGCATTACCAAATAATAGACGTCGCATTTTTAGAGGACTTTCAACAACCGCGACATCTGAAATGGATAGCACGTATAACTCTAAGATAGAATAATGGGATAATGAACATTTCGACATTCCCCACCACTTCAAACAGAAAGCTAGGAAGGAACCGCCGCTTCCATACTGCAAAGGGACATTTGCTAACCTATTTTCCTGAGAAATGGTTTTATCAAAAGATTAAATAAAATTCAAACAGAAGGATAAATGAATGCTGTACGACTTCTTTTCAAATAACCCTAGAGTATTACAGTTACCTTACCTATATATGTTTTTTATGTATGGCTCTGTGTTAATTGGTAATGTTATGATCATGCGTGTATAATTTTACACCTTGCTTATGTACATATGGTTACGGATATTTCTGAGTGTGTGTATGTATAGATCTGTGTTGGTATAGTTGTCTCCCTTTTTTATTGTTGTGAGTGAATGCGGTGCAGTGTATATCTGTATATGCGTTGTTAAGCGGTGATCGCTTGAACTACTGCG